CTCTGTCTCAAAAAAAAAAAAAAAAAAAAAAAGTTCGTTTAATTTGTAAAATACTGATCTATGGAGAGAATAAAACTCTGCGCAGATCCAATTTTACAGAGAATTTTAATGCTTACCAAATATCTTGCAGAATGTTCTGTCATTCATGGTAAGTGACCCTGAACATGAGTAAAGGAACAGATTGGTGATGTCATCATTTAAGGTAAGCTATTCCCTAAATTTCAGTTGTAAATCATATTTATAGATTATAAAAAATATTTTAATTTTCCCAAAAGAACTTCACTTTTTCAGTGTTTTTTCTAAGTAATAAGGGGATGCTGAAGCAACACAAAGAATGATTTCGTTTCCCAGGACTTACTGGAGAAAGGACTGAGGCAGGATCATCTACTGGGGAACATGGAACTCACTGGGAAAGGAAAAGCAAAACCCACAAATATAAGGAAGAGTGTTTCTTCAGGTCAGCCACAGCAACGAGGCAGCCAAGATGCTTGTGAGGAGATAGTAAAGATAATAAGGCATCCTCTCGTTTTCTCGTTTATTGCATGCTAGAGTCCTCAAGCCTGCTAAAGATTCAATGACAGGTAACAGCAACAATTGCTACTTGATGATCATAGTGGTTTTCCTTAAAGGTCTCATTCTGTGGGAGGAGAAGCAAGGGGTGAATGTAAACTGACAGTATCACAGCGGGAAACTAAGTCATCTAATATGTGTTCTAGATACATAACCAGGGTCTGACGTAGCTTTCTGTATTTAACGTGAAAGAGGTTGTGCCAACTCCCGGATCCTTTGAGGACAATGGGCTTTCAAAGCAGCTGGCTTAACTTTAAAGACATCTGGATCATAATATACAATATGCACAGGAGCCCTGAAATAAGGAAAAAGAAATCAACCTGAAATAAAATGAGAAGGTAACTAATGTTTCTCAAGTATCCACTCTATGTTAGGTACTGTGATATTATTGCATTTTATTTTCATGACCTCCACTGTATGGATAAGGAAATCAAGGCTCAGAGAAGTTGAATGAATGATCTATGGACAAATAGATTTGCATGTCTATCAGATTCCAAAACCTTTTCTCTTTCCCCAGAAGGTAAATTCAGGAAGTTGCTCAGTCTTGAACTTGAGTTTTGGAATCAGGCAGACCTGAGTTTGTATCATTTACCATAACATAATTTGGCAATGTTAAAACAAGCCACAGCATTCTCTGGTAGATTTAAAAAAATAAAATTTTTGAAGCTACCCACTCTCAGCACCTTACCACCAAATAATTTTGTCACCAGGATAAAACCTTGATAATGCACTTGATCATATTCTTTTCTTTGCTTTTTTTAAATTTTTTTTTTTTTTTTGAGACAGGGTCTCACTCTGTCACCCAGTCTGGAGTGCAGTGGTGCCATCTCTGCTCACTGCAACCTCCTCCACCCAGGCTCAAGTGATCCTCCTACCCCAGCCTCCAGAGTAGCTGGGACTACAGAACTGTGCCACCACACTCAGCTAATTTTTTTTGTATTTTTAGTAGAGACAGGGTTTCACCATGTTGCCCAGGCTGGTCTCAAACTGCTGGGCTCAAGTGATCTGCTTGCTTCAGCCTCCCAAAGTGGGAGCTGGGATTACAGGTGTGAGTCAACACTCTCACCCTCTTCTCTTTAATGAACAGAGAATAAGCTTCATTTCATCTGATGGCAAATTCATTTTTTTAAAGGATAAATACATTATAGCATTTTAAAAATGTCATTATATAAGACTAACATATTTCCCTTTCCCTGAGCTCAAGACTTCCACAGCTTTTTCTGCCTCTTCTAGGTTTTGCTAATGATGCTTAAAAAGAGGGATCAGATGTTATCCTTCAAGGCAACAAAACTAATTGAGGTTAGGGCAAGTTAAGAGGTCCTCCAAAAAACATATAGAAATGAGAGGCAATGTTTTTCTTTGTTAACTATATATTCTTATCTGTTTTCATTAGGCCATACATGTACATGATGCAAAACACTGGAAAAACACAAAAACCTATTTACCAAAAAATAAGTCTTCTTCCTATCCCAGTTCCCTAGACCCCCAAAGGCAACCATTGTCACAAGCTTCTTGTATACCCTTCTGAGATGCTATAGGCATATGCAAACAAATATATGGCATATATGTCTTTTTTTCTTACACACATTGCAACATATGACGTGCTGTGCTTAGAACTTGTTTCACTTAATAATGTATGTTAGATAAGTAATTCCATACACATATTCATAGGGCTGTCTTTTAGATCTTAAGTTTCTTTTTCTTTTTTCCTTTATTTTTCTTAGAGCCAGGGTCGTCTCACTCTATTGCCTGGGCTGGAGTGCATTGGTATATATCATAGCTCACTGTAACTTCAAACTCCTGGACTCAGTGACTTCCTGCCTCAGCCTCCCAAGTTGCTAGGACTACAGGCACATGCTCACACCTGGATAATTTTTTTTTAATTTTTTTGAATAGATGGGGTCTCACTTTGTTGTCCAGGCTGTTGTAAAACTCCTGGGCTCAAGCTAATTTTTGTGGTGTTTTGTTTTGTTTTGTAGAGATGAGGTTTTGCCATTTTGTCCAGGCTAGTCTTGAACTCCTGGGTTCAAGTGATCTGCCCACCTCTGCCTCCCAAAGTGTTTGGATTACAGGTATGAGCCACTATGCCTGGCCGTTTTTTTTGTTTTGTTTTGTTTTGTTTTTAAGAATTTTTTGTAGAGACGGGGGTCTCACTATGTTGCCCAGGGTGGTCTCTAACTCCTAGCCTCAAGCTGTCCTCCCACCTTGGCCTCTCAAAGCACTGGGATTACAGATGTGATCTACCTGCCCCATCCTCGATCTAAGTTGCAATACCTAACTTTTAACTGTAAAAGTTTTTGCTAACCTTTTAACTGTAGGCTTATGTTTAGGGTGAGAATACTACAGATGGGTCATAATAAAAGTAATGCATTAAGTAAGATGTTTTTGAATTTTTTTTTTTTGTATTTCTACAATTCTTTTCATTTGTCTTACAAGGTCAGCTTTCTCCCTCTCCCCAGAACCCCAGCCTTTCCTGTCCCACTTTAGCCTGAAATTGACATACCTCTTATTTGGATTAGCTAGTTCCTGAATCCTGGGTGATGCTTTGGAATGAGTAGCAGCATAAGATACTGGCCAGTGGGCATCGCGATCCGGTAGATAATCTTGATGAACAGACTTGGACTTAGCTAGAGCTATTGTTCGGGGGCTAGGTTTAGCTAGCATGGCAGCAGGGGTTACCTATAGTGGAAACAAAGAGACATAAAAATATATCCCAAATTTTACATTTCTCTATGTCTACAGCTGTATCCCTACTTGAGTCACAATCATTTCTCTTCTGGATTACTGCAACTGGTCTGTCTGCTCCCATCCTTGCTCCTGTACACTGAGGCCTGCCATGACAGTTACATGAGTGTGTTCCATGAGCCAGACAGTGTTCTAAGTGCTTTACCTAAATCATTCCCACTTAGTCATCATAACAACTTCATGGGCTAAGTACTTTCTAAAGCCTAAATAAGACCAAGTCACTACCAGTATTGCAATACCAGATACAGATGGAGCTGGAAGCCAAATCAGATCAAGTCATTACCAGGCTTTAAACCCATCCTGTTGTTTCCCATCTTGCTAAAACTAATACTTAGGCCCAGCCGAGCACAATGATTTGTGCCTGTAATCCTAGCACTTTGGGAGGCTGAGGTGGGCAGATCACTAGAGCCCAGGAGTTCAAGACTAGCCTGGGCAAAACAGCAAAACCCCATCTCTATGAAACAAAACAAAACACCACAAAAATTAGCTGGCTTACTTTCTCACCAACAATGTAAAAGCATTCCTATTTCTTCTTTTTTCTTTTATATATATATAGAGAGAGATATAGATATAGATATAGATTTTTTTAATTGTACTTTAGGTTCTGGGGTACATGTGACGATCATGCAGGATTGCTTTATAGGTACACACATGGCAATGTGGTTTGCTGCCTCCATCCCCCTGTCACCTGTATCTGGCATTTCTCCCCATGTTATCCCTCCCCAACCTCCCCACTCCCTGCTGTCCCTCCCCCAGCACTCCCCAACAGACCCTAGTGTGTGATGCTCCCCTCCCTGTGTCCATGTGTTCTCATTGTTCAACACCTGCCTGTGAGTGAGAACATGTGGTGTTTGATTTTCTGTTCTTGTGTCAGTTTGCTAAGAATGATGGTTTCCAGATTCATCCATGTCCCTACAAAGAACACAAACTCATCATTTTTTATGGCTGCATAGTATTCCACGGTGTATATATGCCACATTTTCCTTGTCCAGTCTATCAATGGGCATTTGGGTTGGTTCCAGGACTTTGCTATTATAAAAAGTGCCACAATGAACATACATGTGCATATGTCTTTATAATGGAACAATTTATAATCCTTTGGATTATACCCAGTAATGTGATTGCTAGGTCAAATGGAATTTCTATTTCTAGATCCTTGAATTGCCACACTGTCTTCCACAATGGTTGAATTAATTTACACTCCCACCAATGATGTAAAAGCATTTCTATTTCTCCACATCCTCTCCAGCATCTGTTGTCTCCAAATTTTTTAATGATCACCATTCTAACTGGCATGAGATGGTATCTCAATGTGGTTTTGATTTGCATTTCTCTAATGACCAGTGATGATGATGATTTTTTCATATGTTTGTTGGCCTCGTATATCTCTTCTTTTGAAAAGTGTCTGTTCATATTCTTTGCCCACTTTTGAATGGATTTGTTTTTTTCTTGTAAATCTAATTTAGTTCTTTGTAGATTCTGAATATTAGCCCTTTGTCAGATGGGTACATTGCAAAAATTTTTTCCCATTCTGTTGGTTTCTGGTTCACTCTAATGATTGTTTCTTTTGCTGTACAGAAGCTCTGGAATTTAATTAGATCCCATTTGTCTATTTTGGTGTTTGTTGCCAATGCTTTTGGTGTTTTAAGCATTCCTATTTCTCCACAGCCTCACCAACATCTGTTGTTTCTTGACTTTTTAATAATTGCCATTCTGACTGGCATGAGATGGTATCTCATTGTGGTTTTAATTTGCATTTCTCTAATGCTCAGTGATGTTGAGGTTTTTTTCATATATTTGTTGGTCACATGTATGTATTCTTTAGAAAAGTGTCTGCAGCTCTATTCACAATAGCAAAGACATGGAACCAACCCAAATGCTCATCAATGGTAGACTGGATAAGGAAAATGTGGTAAATACATACCATGGAATACATACAGCCATAAAAAGGAATGAGATCATGTCCTTTGCAGGGATATGGATGGAGCTGGAAACCATCATCCTCAGCAAACTAACACAGGGACAGAAAACCAAATACCACATGTTCTCACTCATAAGTGGGAAGTGAACAATGAGAACACATGGACACAGGAGAGGGAACAACACACACCAGGGCCTGTCAGGGGCTGGGCATGTGTGAGGGGAGGGAGAGCATTAGGACCAATAGCTAATGCATGTGGGGCTTAAAACCTAGATGACAGGTTGATAGGTGCAGCAAATCACCATGGCACATGTATACCTATGTAACAAATCAGCACATTCTGCACATGTATCCCAGAACTTAAAATAAAAAAAGTTTTTTAAATAATAAAAAATAATTTCAAGGCTGGGCGCGGTGGCTCAAGCCTGTAATCCCAGCACTTTGGGAGGCCAAGGCGGGTGGATCACGAGGTCAAGAGATCGAGACCATCCTGGTCAACATGGTGAAACCCCGTCTCTACTAAAAATACAAAAAATGAGCTGGGCATGGTGGTGCGTGCCTGTAATCTCAGCTACTCAGGAGGCTGAGGCAGGAGAATTGCCTGAACCCAGGAGGCGGAGGTTGCAGTGAGCCGAGATCGCACCATTGCACTCCAGCCTGGGTAACATGAGTGAAACTCCGTCTCAAAAAAAAATAATAATAAATAATTTCAAGCAAAAAAAAAAAAAGAAATTAACTGGGGATGGTAGTGCATGTCTATGGTCACAGTTACTCAGGAGGCTGAGGTGGGAGGATCGCTTGAGCCCAGGGAGGTTGAGGCTACAGTAAGCCATGACAGCACCACTGCTCTCCAACCTGGGTGACAGAGTGAGATTCTGTCTCAAAAAAAAATACATATACTAAATGTATTAGTCTATTTTCATACTGCTATGAAGAAATATCTGAGGCTGGGTATTTTATAAAGAAAAGAGGTTTAATGGGTTCACAGTTCCACAAGTCTGTGGAGGCCTCACCATCATGGCAGAAGGCAAAGGAGGAGCAAAGGCATGTCTTACATGGCAGCAGGCAAGAGAGAGCATGAGAGCCCAACGAAGGGGGAAGCCCATTATAAAACCATCAGATCTCATGAGAACTCACTCACTAACATGAGAACAGCATGGGGGAAACCACCCCCATGATTCAAATATCTCCACCTGGTCCTTCCCTTGACATGTGGGGATTATTACAATTCAAGGTGGGATTTGAGTGGGGATACAGAGCCAAACCATATCACTTAGGTTCCTTCTGTGGCCTACAAAGCCCTACATGATCTCCCTGCTGCCTCACCCCTCTGACCTCATCTTCCTCCTCTCCTCCCCTTGATCCCTATGATTCCAGCCACACAGGCCCCCTGGACTAGTTCCTTCCCTCTCAGGACCCTTGCACTTGTTAGTTCTTGAAAAAAAAAATTCCCTCAGCCTTGGTTTGGCTGCCTCTCCCTCACTCAAGTTTCTAGACTCAAACATCACATCCTCAAGGTCTTCCCTGACTAGCCAAGACAGATCAGCCTAATTACCCTCCTCTGCAGTACTTGCTTAATCTTCTTCACAGCACATGTCAACACCCACAGCAGCCCATTTATCACTTTGTTTATCATCTGTATTTCTCCCCATTAGGATATAAGCTCCTCAAGGGGAATTACCTGTTTGCTAAAAGCTAAAATTAGGTCTGGCACATAGTTGGTACTGAATAAACATATATTGACTGACTCCTTTTGGTCTTACTTTGAAAACCACATCTACCAGATTTGTCTTTCTGTTATGTTGTTTTATTGGTAAGATATCTAGGAAGGCATCTAATATTCTCTTTTAAATACTCCCTCAAAAGAATTAAGGTGGGGCTAGGCATGAGGGCCCACACCTATAATTTTATCACTTTGGAAGGTCGAGGCATAAGGATCAGTTGAGCTCAGGGGTTCAAGACCAGCCTTGGCAACATAGTGAGACCCTGTCTCTACAAAAAAAAAAATTTTTAAACTTGGGTACGGTGGCACATGCCTGTAGTCCCAGCTGCTCAGGTGGCTGAGGTGGGAGGATCACTTAAGCCCAGCAGGTTGAGGCTGCAGTGAGCCATGATTGTGCCACTGCACTCCAACCTGGCCAACAGAACAAGACACTGTCTAAAAACAAACAAACAAAAGAATTAAGGTGGCCAACACCACTCTCAGTAGTCTCGAAAGTATTCTGCATTGCACTGGTGCAGATTTGTTTCAGATTCTAAGAGTGTGATTTTCTGTAGTGGTATTACTCTTTTCTAAAGACCTTAAAAAATAAACCCAAACAATCCTAGCAATTAAGGAAAGATCTGTGTTACTTCCATTTTTACATACCAAAAAACTGAGAATAAAGCCATTTGCCTGACAGTCACAAGTCACTTTGGTAAACTTAAGATACTCTCCCAAGGGTGTTTGATTCCCAGAATGGTTTTCTTTCCTAACAGAATTCCATATTAAATCCCCAGGTTTCTTGAAACTGGGTGAAACTGGTCCTACCTCCTTTGGCAACATGATCATTACTTATTTTTTGAAAACCTAACTGGAATATGGCAACTAGTTGGCACTGAAATTGATGGTGGTGAATGTCAAGGAGGAAGAGGGAGGGAAGCCATTGAAGGTTCCAGGCTCTGCACTGAGTGCCATGATTTACCTGTTATTGCTGAACCCAGCAGATCTCTCAGTGAGGACCGCTATCTCCACAATTCCCTAGCTCACCTTGCTCCACCCAACTTCAAGTGCATCCCAACTTTAGTACTTTGGCATATGCTCTTCCCTTTACTGGAATATTCTTTTAGATCTTCACTTGGTTGACTCCTTCTTATCAGTCAAATGTTCCTTCCTTAGAGAGGCCTTCCCTGACTACCACAGGCAAAGTAGCTTACCACCCTGACCCATAGTCATTCATTTTCTGTTTTATTTTCTTCATAGCATTGATCATGATCTGACATTATCTATTGACTAATTTATTGTTTGTCTCCCCTGATTAGCATAGAGCTCCATGTTGTTCACTGGGATCACTGCCTGGTTCACAGTAGGCATCCAAATATTTGTTGAATGAATAAAGCTCCGGAAGGTTGTTCCAACATCATAGAGCTTATAGAGATGAGGCTGCAATTTGAACCCAGCTTTAAAACTGAACTCCAAATCCCATGCTCTTGGTACTCTACTCCTCTCCCTATCATATAGCTGGGTCTTTCTTCCTGCCGCAGACCACTCTTCGCAGATTCTCTTTGCCAATGACTTTGGGCTATGCCCTACAGAGGCAAAATAGCATCCTAGGAGCAGCCAGAAAGTGAGATGAAGGATGCCAAGGTAGTGATGGCTTACAGGACGGATGGGCAGTTCAGTTCTTTGTCTTTCATAGCACAGACCCTCTAACTTGATCCTTGGATGGGCAAGATCTACAATTCTTGGACTTGGAGTCGCACTCAGGGTAGACAGTGAAATGTTGGTTTGCATCTACAAGAGAAAAATAAAACAGTACTTATAAGCATCAAATAGTACACACTGTCTAGTTCAAGATTACAAAGTATAATTTGACCTCTGGGCCAGACTTCTCAAGCAGAATGGGAGAGAATCTTGCAGTAACCTACGATCAAAACTGAAACGATCCATTTCCATTTCTCTCAAACTAGACTGCATGGATTCCAACCCAGCTTTTCAGGAATTTAACTGTTAAACTAAAGACATGGAGGTAATAGCAAATAAGGTCACATACTGATTCAGAGATAAATGGTAATGGTGATTTGTGAACTGAAAAACTTGGCCAAAGAGGCCAGGCTCAGCCCCACCAAATGAGAATACTATAAAGCAGTGGTCCCCAATCTTTTGGACACCAGGGACCGGTTTCAGAAAAGACAATTTTTCCATGGACAGTGTTGGGAAAAGGATGGTTTTGGGATGAAACTGTTGCAACTTAGATCGTCAGGCATTAGATTCTCATAAAGAGAGAACAACCTAGATCCCTCACATGCATAGTTCACAATAGGGTTCACGTTCCTATGAGAATCTAATGCCACTGCTTATCTGACAGGAGATGGAGCTCAGGTGGTAATGCTCACTCACCCTCCTGCTCACCTCCTGTTGTGCTGCCTGATTCCTAACAGTCCACAGACTGGTGCTGGTCCACAGCCCAGGGGTTAGGGATCCCTGCCATAAAGGTTAGACTTAGCTTTTGTTCTTAATTATTTTTGCCCTTTGGAAATTGGGACACATATTATCACAAATCACCATGCTTAAAGTGAATTTAAGTGTCTCTCTTCTAATTGGAATAGGTAAGAAAAAGAAACCGAAGCCAATAAGAAGAAAAGCAGAACCATACCTCTCCTCACTAGACTCCCAAGTTATTGTTCACTATCTGAATTGTGGAAACTTGTCCAAATTACATGATCTTCTATTTAAGTTACTTGTATTAAATATCAAAGCTTACCACAAAACTTTGAAGGGGAATATAATCAATAACTGGAAATAAAATAGGGCTTTAACTGTGGGTGGAAAAATATTCAGGTATTTTCCAAATCCCTTCTTGTGCTGTTTAATGTTGATACTAACACTGATAGTGTTTCACATGTATTGTGTATTAGTCCATCCTTGCTTTGCTATAAAGAACTACCTGACACTGGGTAATTTATAAAGAAAAGAGGTTTCATTGGCTCGTGGTTCTGCAGGGTGTACAGGTAGCATGGCTGGGGAGGCCTCAGAAAACTCACAATCATGGCAGAAGGGCAAAGGGGAAGCACATCTTACATGGTGGGAACAGGAGAGAGCAAAGGGGAAGGTGCTACACACTTTTAAACAACCAAACCTCCTGATAACTCATGCACAACCACAAGAACAGCAAGGGGGAAATCCACCCTCATGATCCAATCACCTCCCACCAGGTCCCTCCTCCAACATTGGGGATTAAAATTCTACATGAGATATGGGTGGGAACAAAAATCCAAATCATAATATATTGATTCATTTATTCTACCTAGGGTATCATTTTTATTTCTAATTCTCTAAGACAGAAACTAAGGTATTGTGAGAATCAGTAATTTATTTAAGTTTACAGAGTAAGAGGTAGAATTAACATTCAAACTGAAGATCCAACCTCTCTGTACAACACAACAAAGTACTAATTAAGCATTTTAAGCAATTTTAAGCATGAATAAAGCTTTCTCTCCTCTCAGGCTCTGGGAAAATCAAAGGAATATATGACAACCATTGCTTTCAATTAAGGCTTATGATCTAAAAAGATTCAAAATAATCATTTACTTATTCAATTTATTAAACAAATATTTCTTAGTCAATTATAGTATGTAAGACACAACAAAGGATAATAAGATACAGTTCCTTTCCTTAATTAATTTTCAACTTAGAAAGAACCATAAGGCTGGGTATGGTGGATTATGTCTGTAACACCAGCACTTTGGGACGTTGTGGCAGGAAGATCAATTGAGCCCAGGAGCCTTTTCAGACAACTGTGAATATTTTTCCTTGATGCTACAACTTGAAAAATACTAGTTTCTTAAATGGTAGTTGCAAAAAGTACCCTTTGAAACTATGTGAATGAACTTTTTATACTTTATTACCTTACAATCCATTTATTTATCTTGCACATTGAATGAACCTTTTAGCCATCCATAATTTTGAATTTGATACCTGGGATTTATACCAGGGACACAGGGATGGTTTAACATACACAAGTCAATAAATGTGATACACCACATAAATAGAATTAAAAACAAAAATCACATAATCATATCAATAGATGCAGAAAAAGCATTTGACAAAATCCAGCAAACTCTCAACAAAATCGGCATACAAGGGATATAACTCAATACAATAAAAGCCATCTATGACAAACCCACAGCCAACATAATACTGAATGGGGAAAAGTTTAAAGCATTCTCTCTGAGAACTGGAACAAAACAAGGATGCCCACTCTCACCACTCCTTTTCAACACAGTACTGGAAGTCCTAGCCAAAGCAATCAGACAAGAGAAAGAAATAAAGGGCATCCAAATCAGTAAAGAGGAAGTCAAATGGTCACTGTTTGCTGACAATATGATCATTTACCTTAAAACCCTAAAGACTCCTCCAGAAAGCTCCTAGAACTGACTAATAAAAGAATTCAGCAAAGTTTCCAGATACAAGATTAATGTATACAAATCAGTAGCTCTTCTATGCACCAACAGTGACCAAGCAGACAAACAAATCAAGAACTCAACAGCTTAAAAAAAAAACTTAGAAATATACCTAACCACGGAGTCAAAAAACCTCTACAAGGAAAACTACAAAATGCTGTGGAAAGAAATTATAGACAACACAAACAAATGAAACACATCCCATGCCCATGAATGGGTAGAATCAATATTGTGAAAATGACCATACTGCCATAAGCCATCTACAAATTTAATGCAATCCCCATCAAAATACCACCATCATTCTTCACAGAATTAGAAAAAACAATTCTAAAATTCATATGGAACCTGAAAAGAACCTGCATAGCCTAAGCAAGACTAAGCAAAAAGAACAAATTTGGAGGCATCACACTACCTGATTTCAAGCTATACTATAAGGCCATAGACACCAAAACAGTATTGTACTGGTATAAAAATAGGCAGTTAGACCAATGGAAAAGACTAGAGAACCCAGAAATAAGCCCAAATACTTACAATCAACTGATCTTCGATAAAGCAAATAAAAACATAAAATGGGGAAAGGACACCCTATTCAACAAATGGTGCTGGGATAATTGGCTAGCCACATGGAGGAGAATTAAACTGGATCCTCATCTCTCACCTTATACAACAATCAACTCAAGATGGATTAAGGACTTAAACCTAAGACCTGAAACTATAAAAATTCTAGAAAATGCCATTGGAAAGAAACTTCCAGACATTGGCTTAGGCAAGGATTTCATGACCAAGAATCCAAAAGCAAATGCAATAAAAACAAAGACAAATAGCTGGGACCTAATTAAAGTAAAGGGCTTTTGCACAGCAAAAGGAACAGTCAGCAGAATAAACAGACAACTCACAGAGTGGGAGTAAATCTTCACAATCTAAACATCTGACAAAAGACTAATATCCAGAATCTACAATTAACTCAAACAAATCAGTAAAAAATAATAATAATAAACGATCCCATCAAAAAGCGAGATAAGGACAAGAATAGACAATTCTCAAAAGAAGACATACAAATGGCCAAGAAACATATGAAAAAATGCTCAACATTACTAATGATCAAGGAAACGCAAATTGAAACCACAATGCGATACCACCTTACTCCTGCAAGAATGGCCATAATGAAAAAATAAAAAAACAGTAGATGTTGATGTGGATATGGTGATCAGGGAACACTTCTACACTGCTAGTGGGAATGTAAACTAGTACAGCCACTGTGGAAAACAGTGTGAAGATTCCTTAAAGAATCAAAAGTAGAACTACCATTTGATCCAGCAATTCTTTTCTTTTGGGTGTCTACCCAAAGGAAAAGTTGTCCTTATTTGAAAATCTTTTCAAATCTTGCACATGCATGTTTGTAGCAGCACAATTCACAATTACAAAATCATGGAACCAACACAATTGCCCATCAATCAATGAGTGGATAAAGAAACTTTGATATATGTATAGGATGGAGTACTACTCAGCCATAAAAAGGAATCAATTAGCAGCAATTGCAGTGACCTGGATGAGATTAGAGACTATTATTCTGAGTGAAGTAACTCAAGAATGCAAAGAAACAAACATTTATGTTCTCACTAGTATGTGGGAGCTAAGCTATGAGAACGCAAAGGCATAAGAATGATACATTGGACTTTGGGAACTTGGGGGGAAAGTCGGGGGGTGAATAAAAGATTACAAATAAGGTGCAGTGTGTACTGCTTGGGTGATGGGTGCACCAAAATCTCACAAATCACCACTAAATAACTTACTCAGGTAGCCAAATATCACCTGTATCCCAATAACTTACGGAAAAATTACAAAAAGAAAAAGAAAAAAGTCCAATAAATAATCAATCAATCAGTGGACCAAGGAATAATGGATAAAGTACAATTGTTTATGCACTGTAGAATGAGTAGGTTGAATGAAAGTAAAGCGTAAAAGTTAAATTTATAAAATAAACATTTTAGGGGCAGCTATTTTAGGGGCAGCAGTCCTAAAAAAAACATTTTGGGGCAGTCCTAAAAAACATTTTGGGGCAGTCCTAAAAAACATTTAGGAAGTCCTAAAAAAAAACATTTTAGAGACAGTCCTAAAAAACATTTTAGGGGCAGCAGTCCTAATAAAAAAAAAAAGATTATTTAGGACTCTTAATTGTTTACAATTACTGAAATTATAAATAAAATAATAAAACTTGCAAACCAAACTTAAAATCCTTAGAAAAATCGACATGTAAATTTGCAAATTTAAAAATGAAACTATTAATTATTTATAGCATACCTCTAAACAGTCTTTTCCGCATATAAAATCCATGCTCAAGGATACCTAAAAGACTTAAATCATTGGGTGTGGCAGGTTTCTTTTAAGTGCCTATAAATTCTTTCACACTTCTCTCATTGAGAAGTGGGATTTGTGTCCCTGCCCCCTTGAATCTGGCCAGACTTGTAACTACAGCAATAAACAGAGTATGACTGCAGTAATGTTATGCGACGTCTAAGGCCGAGCCATAAAAAACATGCAGCTTCCGCTTGTTCTCTTGAAATTCTCACCCTTGAAACACTCAATTTTAGGATATTCCTTTTCAGAACAGCTCTCATGACAAGAAAAGTCTAAGCCACATGAAGAGACCATATGAAGGAACTCCTACAGATATTCCCATCTGAATCTGTCTAGCTTTCAGGTTATCCCAGCCTGGGCACCATGCACAGTTGTTATTGTGGACTGACTGTGTCCCTCCAAAATTCACACGTTGAAGCCCAAATCCCCAATGATTGAATTAGAAGGTGGGGCTTTTGGGTGATAATTAGATTTAGATGAAGTCATGAGAGTGGAGCCCCATAACAGGATTAGTGTCATAAGAAAAGGAAGAGAGATCAGAGATCTTTCTTTCTTTCTCTCTCAGAACCTACAAAGAAGAGGTCATGTGAGTACACAGCAAAATCATGGTTGTCTCCAAGCCAGGAAGTGGGTCCTCACCAAGAAGAGAATATGCCAGCATCTTAATCTTGGACTTCCCAGGCTCCAGAACTGTGAGAAATAAATTTCTTTTACTTAATTTACCCAGACTACAGTTTTAGGTTACAGCAGCCCAAGCTGACTAAGACAAGTGTAAAGGAGCCTCCAGGTGATTCCAGGCCCCCACCATTTCAGACACCCAAGGCATTACAGATTTCCCAGCTGAAGCCCCCAGACATCATGAAGCAGAGCAAAGCCATACCTGCTTGCCCAGTCAGAATTTCTGACTCATAAAATCCTTGAGCATAATAAAATCTTTGTTTTATGCCACTAAGTTTGGGAATGGTTTGGTATAAAGTAACAGACACCCAGATGAGAACTTTAAGGCTGGGTTGTCTGTATTGGTTCTAGATTATCTGGAGTTTGTTCTCCAAGCTGATTAGATTTAAAGTCATCCTATTACTAGTGGTGAAAAAAAATACACCATAGTCCACAGCATGCAGCGGCAAAACAGAAAGCAAGGCTTTGAGTGATGGAGCAGCTGCTGCAAGCAAACATTTTAGTGAAATAAAGAAGTACATTAGGATTGCTGGGTTGCTTCTAAGTGAACTGAAGAACTTGAGAAAAGAAAATGGTAATAAGCTCAGACCTTTAAAATCCAACTGTAGGCCAGGTGCAGTGGCTCACACCTGTAATACCAGCACTTTGGGAAGTCAAGGTGGGAGGACTGCTTGAGCCCAGGAGTTCAAGATCAGCCTGAGCAACATAGGGACACTTCGTCTCTGATTGTGGTGGCAAGCACCTGTGGTCTCAGCTATTCAGAAAGCTGGGGTAGGAGGATCACTTGAGCTTGGGAGGTCAAAGCTGCAGTGAGTTGTGATCACATGACCACGCTCCAGCCTGGGCAACAGAGTGAAACCTTGTCTTAAAAAATAAAAAAATAAAATCTCATCATAATGTCCACATACAGGACCAGAAAGCTTCTATGACTTCCCTAAAATTTTGAAAGCCTTATCTTTAACATCACAGGGCTGAACATTCTTAAAACCAGACCCAGAATCTAATTTTGTGAGTGAGTGAATTATAGTGAAAATTGAATTTCCAAATCTGTACAGTCTTTTTTTTTTTTTTTTTTTTTTGAGACGGAGTTTCGCTCTTGTTACCCAGGCTGGAGTGCAATGGCGCGATCTCGGCTCACCGCAACCTCCGCCTCCTGGGTTCAGGCAATTCTCCTGCCTCAGCCCCCTGAGTAGCTGGGATTACAGGCACGTGCCACCATGCCCAGCTAATTTTTTGTAGTTTTAGTAGAGACGGGGTTCCACCGCGTTGACCAGGATGGTCTCGATCTCTTGACCTTGTGATCCACCCGCCTCGGCCTCCCAAAGTGCTGGGATTACAGGCGTGAGCCACCGCGCCCGGCCTGTACAGTCCTTTATGTTAAAGTTAGGGCAATGATAGGAAAAGAGGGGGGCCTTGAAAATTGGATTGGGGATATATAGCCAGATTCCAATGAAGCCAGGGACTTTAAGCCCCAAAATACTGCTGAGCCTCCCTTGCTATTAGAATCAACCTTTCCTCCATCTGAAAAGGTTAAACTCTCCTTGCCTAACTAACCTGTAGTAGCTTCCCATCGTAAATGTATTCCAGGAACTGCTGACCTGCCTCTATTACATCTATTGCCTCTAGATCTATAACCAGACCCAAGTCCCAGCTGCCAGAACAGCCTTCCATAGGCTTCTCCACCAGTTCCCACAATTGCTGAAGGGCTAATTCCTATAATAAATCCTGTTTTCTACATTACTCATAGTGGTTCTGCTTCTCTGACCCATCCCTGATTGATACATTAGGCATGAAAGAGTGAGTCAGAAAAGTTCACTTGATAAGATGGAAAAATAAACAGGAAGAAAGGAAAATACACCTAGTAAAAGAGAGTAGATAGCATGTTGTAAGTCAATCAGGAACTGTTTCTTCCACAAGGGCACACTTACGTTTTTTGAAGGATGATACTTTGGATCTGTGCCTTTGGCTATTGAGAGTTGTAATATCCGGGGAGAAGGATCAGAGATTTGAAGAGAATCTCTTGTTAAGTAATCACTGAAGGGTCTATATGCAAGTGGAAACGTGAAATATTATAACTGTTGGATGGAGAAACAATAATTGGATTTTCCATTGCTACAATTAACTTCCAATCAATTATATATACTGTTTCTATCTTGGGAACGTCTATCCCGAAATTATGCTCTTTCTATCAGATTGGTGTTTCTTACAATTTTTTTTTACTATGATCCACAGTAACAAGTACATTTCGGCCAGCACAGTGGCTCATGCCTGTAATTCCAACAGGCATCCCAACAGCCTGTAATCCCTCTACCCTGAGAAGCAGAGGTGGGAGGATTGCTTGGGTCTAGAGTTTGAGACCAGCCAGGCAAACATGGTGAGATCCCCTCTCTACAAAAACTAAAAAACTAGTCAGGTGTGGTGGCATGTGCCTGTAGTCCCAGCTACTTAAAAGGCTGAGGTGGGAGGATCACTTGAGCCCAAGAAGTCAAGGCTGCAGTGAGCCAAGATTGTACCACTGCACGACAGCCTGAGTGACAAATCGAGACCCCAGTCTCAGAAAAAAAGAGAAGTACATTTTATATGTTGATACAGCATATGTAAATGTGTGTTTGTGTATCTCAAACTGAAATTATTATGAAATAATACTTATCCTATACAGTGATTCTAATTTTTAAATTTTAATTTGATTTCATTATTAAAAAACTGGAATTGATTTTATGATCCGTTATGAATGACTCATGGCTTACGTTATGAAAAGCACCTCATTTTCTACCAAAATGTCCTCTTAAATCTCTGAAATAAAAATTCCAAGCCGGGCGCAGTGGCTCAAGCCTGTAATCCCAGCACTTTGGGAGGCCGAGGAGGGTGGATCACGAGGTCAAGAGATCGAGACCATCCTGGTCAACATGGTGAAACCCCATCTCTACTAAAAATACAAAAAATTAGCTGGGCATGGTGGTGCGTGCCTGTAATCCCAGCTACTCAGGAGGCTGAGGCAGGAGAATTGCCTGAACCCAGGAGGCGGAGGTTGTGGTGAGCCGAGATCGCGCCATTGCACTCCAGCCTGGGTAACATGAGTGAAGCTCCGTCTCAAAAAAAAAAAAAAAAAATTCCAGTCACACTGAAGGCCCCTCTGCAGTGGCCAGTTTCCTCTGTAATATGATTTTGAGATACTGCTGGTCATAACTGCCAGCTACTTGGTCAATTTTCATAGGCTGTTCCCCACATATTTCTTTCCCTTGACCAAAAACATACCAATTAAGTGACAAACCTACAAGTCTAATATGGAATTTATTTTTCTCAAATAAATATGTGATTACTCTCTAGGGGTAGGCTCTTGGTTTTGGATTTTTTTTTTTTTTTTTTTTTTTTTGCTGAGAAACAATCAACATACCCTAAAAAATACCCTTTTAAAATATACAATTCAGTCATTTTTCCCTTTTTCTAAAAGATATGCAACCACCACCACTATTTAATTTCAGAATCCTGGGAACCACTAATCTACTTTCAGTCTCTATGGATTTGGATCTACGGATTGGCCTATTCTGGAATTTCTTTCTTTCTTTTCCCTCCCTTCCTTCCTTCCTTCCTGCTTTCTTTCTTTCCTTCCTTCCTTCCTTTTTTTTTTTTTTTGTAGACAGTCTCATTCTGTCGCCCAGGCTTGAGTGAAGTAGCAGTGTCTGAGTTCACTACAACCTTTGCCTCCCGGGTTCAAGCAATTTGATACATTACCAAATTTACATGTATACATAACTACCCAATGTTATGTATTTGGTACAGCAGATTTTATTGAATGAATTGGTAACTAAGTAATTGAGGAAACTCTGTGGAAAGAATTGGGCCTTCTTTCACAGGATTCTGTGATGGAAAAGACTCAGGTTGTTCAGTTCAATATTTCTTTGAATATAGGAATCTTTTCTAAAATCCATGTAAAGTCAGAATTCCAGCCTGGGCTTGAAAACTTTCAGGAATTAGGGTGGCATGCTGGCTCACTTTCCGTTACTGGACAGTTTCCATTACCCAACAGCTAGCCAGAAAGATTTTCCTACCCTTAGCTGACATCTATTGCCGTCAATGTTCTGCTTCTAGTTCTAGGATTAACATAAAGTAATTTTACTTTCCCCTCTTCTTTCTCTTCCAGATGCCAACATTTTAAATATTTTAACACAGCTGTCACCACTTTCTTATTCTTTTTCAAGCTAACCATGTCATTTCTCTTAACTATTTTTCACATAGCATAGTTTCCAGATGCCCAATATCTCATTTCCCACCTTGTGAGGGGTCTCAAGTTTATTATCATTTTCTTGAGCACTATCCCTCTCCATACCTGTACACTGTATATATTCCACTAATGCAACCTAACATTGAATTAGCTTTTCCAACAACCACATCACAATCTTAGCTCCCGTGGAAAATGTACCACCTAGTGGTCTTATAAAGACAAGGAGAAATTCAGCCTTCCAAACAAAAGGAAGAAAAAGTATCCTCAAAATCACAGAGATATAAGAAAACAAATTCCACAACTTGCAAAAACCTGTGGTGTTTTAGTAGCATATTTCCTTTTAACTGGCTAACAATGGTAAGGTTTAGTATAAATTTTAGTTTCACCACAATATGAGTCAAATGTAATTACCGAGGATGATCTTCTGATTACCTACAATTGCTGCAAATATTTGATTTTTTCACCCGACGCTTTGGAACATGAGTGGACTTTTAGCTCATGAAATTGCACACACTAAAATTAGAACAATACTGAAACGTCTGGCCAAATTAGATTAGGATTACAGAGATTCTCAAGATACTCTACCTATTTAGTAGACACTGTCTTTTGAATCCACTGGGCTGCGCCAGCCTCTGGAGCCTTTTGGAGGGTTGTCTAAACAACGCAGGAGGATTCATCTGCCAAATTACAGACTCTCTTCCACAGCTGTAGTAATATTGAGGCCTGCAAGTTATAGAAGAGAAAAGAAATAAGTAAAAGGCCTAGGGGCGCAGGTATAACACTTTATTATTGTTGAGCTATTTTTCACGTGAGGAGAAATTAATTGCTTTAGAAATGGTTACAGCCATCAATTGGCTTCTATTATACTCAAAACAGATAATTTTCTGAAATAAATGTCTTCTTTTTTTTTCAAATGAGACAGGGCCATACTCTGTCACCCAGTCTGGAGTACAGTGGCATGATCATGGCTCACTGCAGCCTCGACCTCCTAGGCTGATGATCCTCCCACCTCAGCCTCCCAAGTAGCTGGGATCACAGGCATGTGCCACTATGCCCAGCAAATTTTTTAATTTTTTGTAGAGAAGGGGTTTCACTATGTTCCCCAGGCTGGTTTTGAACGCCTGAGCTCAAGCAATACTCCTGTCTCAGCCTCCCAAAGTACTAGAATTAAAGGCATGAGCCACCATGCCCAGCAATTACATTTTGCAAACAGACAAAAAGATATACTGTTGAAGAGAAAATTTGCTTTTAAAATTGGCTTTTAAAACCAAATACTTCCTTTAGCATCTATATAAATAAAAATTTTTACTAGATTTCTATTTTATGGGATGAATTACATTGATACTTTATGTTAGAGAACTGAGTTTTATTCTACCTGATCATGCGCATAAATCAACTCCCATTATTGAGGGTTGTTAACTGTGATTTTTTTGGATAAGTACAGTAATAATATTGTTCTTCTTTATTTATTATTATGATTATTATTTGTTTGTTTGTTTTTTGAGATGGAGTCTCGCTCTGTCACCCAGGCTGGAGTGCAGTGGCGCAATCTCAGCTCACTCCAACCTTTGCCTCCCAGGTTCAAGCAATTCTCCTGCCTCAGCCTCCTGAGTAGCTGGGACTACAGGAGCATGCCACCACGCCTGGCTAATTTTTGTATTTTTAGTAGAGATAGGGTTGTACCATGTTTGTCAGGTTGGTCTCAAGCTCCAGACCTTGTGATCCACCCACCTCAGCCTCCCAAAGTGCTGGGATTATAGGCGTGAGCCACCGCACCTGGTCTTACCTACTAATTTTAGAAGTAGCATTTTGCCCTAACACCCAGGCTCAAGTGCAGTGGCACGATCAAGGCTCATAGCAGCCTCAAACTCCTGGGCTCAAGCAATGCTCCTGCCTCAGCCTCCCGAGTAACTGGGACTACAAGTTTGCATCACCATGTTGGGCTAATTTTTAAATTTTTGTAGCGATAGGGGCTCGCTCTCTTATCTAGGCTGGACTTGAACTCCTGTGCTCAAGTGATGCCCCCATTTCAGCCTCCCAAAGTGCTGGGATTACAGGCATTAACCACCACTGTCATTGTTCTTCTTATCAACCCTGCCCTTCAATCTTTCCTTATCAAAATATATCATCCGTGGAAAAGGAAGTGACATTGACTACCCCCAGATCCAACGTTAACGTAAATTGCAGTCCCACTTTTGCTTCTGTTATAAGAACCTCCTCTGTTCCTTTAGGACGTTCACAGATACAGATTGGCATCCCTCCTCTGCCCAGGCCTCTGTCTGCTAGTTGCAGCTGTAAACATCCTTTGCATCTGGGCTGAATAGGTGACTTGTAAGCCTCAAGCTGCATATAAGTCTGTATCCCCGTTGCTTGCGACTACCCAGTCTTGAGGCCTGTCTACACCATCATACATATCTCTTGAGGGGGCTGGAGGCTGTCCAGCCCTGACTCCACTGCCTGACAGAACTGACTCACCTACCCACACCCACACACACAGCCCAGCTTAAACAAGCAGGAAACCTCAGCCCCTGCCTGGGATTAGCCTTTTGTAGGAAACGGCGGTTCAGTCTGGGAATTAGAGATACAGAAGGAAGTGGTGATTTTGAACAATGGGGTACATTGTGGAGACCTTAGACTCAGGCATGGGGGGCCACAGTGGTTGGGAAGGTGATTATACAGCCAGTGAGCAGCACAAAGGCAAGGTGTGCCCGGAGAGCAGCGTCGGGGGGAGAGGCCCAAGCAGTGAGAGAGAGATACAAAAGAAAGAAGACACCAGAGGCAAATCTGCGACTCAACGTTCTCTCAGGTGGGAACCGCAACCGCCAAATGCCAGCAAAATCTGTATTGACCATAACACTTATGCCTTATGCTGCCAACACCTAGAAGTATATAGGTGTTCTATAAAATGGAGAAAATAAACAATATTTGGTGATTATGAAGACTAGACAAGAGAAGTGTATATGTTACTTTATAATTCACAAAGAATGATTCTATTAATCAACTTGTATATTAATTTTAAATTTCATATTTGCATATCTTTTCCTTATAAATGCTGCATATTAACAGAATGTATTGCTGCTGCCCTTATGTGCCTCTCCTACTCCCAGAGTCATCCATGCATCCAAGTCTCACAGCGCCGTCAACGTAGCAGGTACTCAATTTTTTTTTTTTTTTTAATATGGAGTCTTGCTCCAACACCCAGTCTGGAGTGCAGTGGTGTGATCTTGGCTCACTGCAACCTCCGCCTCCTGGGTTCAAGCAATTCTCCTGCCTCAGCCTCCCAAGTAGCTAGGATTATAGGCATGCACCATGACTCCCAGGTAATTTTTGTATTTTTAGAATAGACGAGGTTTTGCCATGTTGGCCAGACTGGTCTCAAACTCCTGACTTTCAGGTGATCCACCCACCTCAGCCTCCCAAAGTGCTGGGATTACAGACGTGAGCCACCACGCCTGGCCTCAAATATTATTTTAATCTAGGGCACACCGCATTTTTCTCATCATAGAAGAGACAAATATTCAATAGAGAAAACTTGTAAAATAAAGAAGTTCAAGAGAGAGAAACAAAAAACATATATTAGTCCACCATTCAGAGATAATAATGGGTAATGTCTTGGAATAAATTGAGTCTTTTTCCCCTCTATTTATACACTCAAAAATACTTACTGAGCACCAAGGACTGAGTTAAACATTAGGAGATAGCGGAGAATAGATAATCACTGCTTTCTTGCAGGTTGTTCTCTAGGTCAAGGGGAGAACACCAAATGTAAAGTACAGTCAAGCACTGTGTAATGACCTTTCGGTCAGCAATGAACCACCTATAGGACAAGTATACTGGATTGTACTGGAGCTGAAAATTCCTATTGCCTTGTGATGCTGTAGCCATCATAAAGTGATAGCACAATGCATTACTCACATGTTTATGGCTATGCTACTGTAAACAAACCTACAGCACATACAATTATGTATAGTACATACTCTTTGTTTGCTTTCCTGTAAAATCCAGTTTTAATCAGTATGTAATAGTTGATGGTGATAATAACTATATTACTGGTTTATGTATTTACTATATATTATGGGTTTATGTATTTTTATTGTTATTTTAGAGTATAATCTTTCTACTTATAAAAAAGCTAACTGTATAACAGCCTCAGACAGGTCCTTCAGGAGGTATTTCAGGAAAAAGCATTTTATCCTAGGAAATGGCAGCTCCATGCATGTTTTGCTCCGAAAGACCTTCCAGAGAGACAAGCTGTGGAGGTGGAAGATAGTGATATTAATGACCCTGACCCTCTGTAGGCCTAGGCCAATGTTTGTTTGTACCTTCTTAAGGTCTTGCTCTGTCACGCAGGCTGGAGAGCGGTATGATCATAGCTCTGTACAGCCTCAAACTCCTGGGATCAAGCAATCCTCCACTCTCAGCCTCCTGAGTAGCTAGGACTACAGGCATGCGCCACTACGCCCAGATAATTTTCTTTATTTTTTGTAGAGATGGGGGTCTTACCATGTTGCCCAGGTTGGTCTTGAACTGTTGGCCTCAAATTATCCTCCCATTTTGACCTCCCAAAGCATTGAGATTACTAGTGCTAGCCACATGTCCAGGCGGGTGGATTGCTTGAGCCCAGGAGTTTGAGACCAGCCTGGGCAACATGGCAAAGCCCTGTCTCTACCAAAAAAATAAATAAATAAAGACAAAAATTAGCCAGGTGTGGTGGCTCACACCTGTAGTCCCCACCACTCGGGAGGCTGAGGTGGGAGGATGACTGTAGTCCAGGAGGCTGAGGTTGCAGTTAGCTGAGTATGACTGCACTCCAGTAAGGGCAACAGAGCAAGACCTTCTCTGGAAAAAAAAAAAAAAAGTCTTAAGAGTTTAAAAAACTTAAAAATAGAAAGAAAAAAAAAGCTTATGTTATAAGGATATAGATCAAGCAGGGTCCCGTGGATTAAATAATAATAAGGATATGAAGAAAAAAATATTTTTGGACAGCTGCCTAATGTGTTTGTGTTTTAAGCTAAGTGTTACTACAAAAGAGTCAGAAAGTTTTTTTTTCAAGTTAATAAGCTTATAAAGTCAAGTCCAGGTGGCTCACGCCTGTAATCCCAGCACTTTGGGAGCCCAGGGCGGGCGGATCACCTGAGCTCAGGAGTTTGAGACCTGCTTGGCCAACATGGAGAAACCCCGACTCTACTAAAGATAGAAAAATTAACCAGGCATGGTGGTGCGTGCCTACAGTTCCAGCTACTTGAGGGGCTGAGGCAGGAGAATCGCTCGAACTGGGGAAGCAGAAGTTGCAGTGAGCCAAGATTACACCATTGCACTCCAGCCTGGGTGAAAGAGGAAAAAAAAAAAAAGCTTATAAAGTAAAAAAGTTATTGTGAGCGAAAGTTAATATATTAGTAAAAAAAAATTTCTCATAAGCAGCGTAACAGGCCGGGCGCGGTGGCTCAAGCCTGTAATCCCAGCACTTTGGGAGGCCGAGGCGGGTGGATCACGAGGTCAAGAGATCGAGACCATCCTAGTCAACATGATGAAACCCCGTCTCTACTAAAAATACAAAAAATTAGCTGGGCATGGTGGCGCGTGCCTGTAGTCCCAGCTGCTTGGGAGGCTGAGGCAGGAAAATTGCCTGAACCCAGGAGGCGGAGGTTGCGGTGAGCCGAGATCGCGCCATTGCACTCCAGCCTGGGTAACGAGAGTGAAACTCTGTCTCAAAAAAAAAAAAA